CAAATGGCTAATGGAAATATTGGCAGTTTGAACCCACCAACCAATTTGTGGGAGAAAGATGGGCAGTCTCCTCCCATGAAGATTCACAACACTGGAAACCTGATGGAGGTTCATATGTAGTGGATGGGCCTCCGGGACTCTGATTTTACCCCTTCAGACTACTTTCCAAGGAGCCCTGGTGACACAGTACATTATATGCTGGGCTGATAACCAAAAGGTGGGCAAATTTGAATCCACCAGTCGTTCGGGTGGGAGAATGATGAGCAGTTCTCTGTAAAAACTGAAAACCCGATACAGGGTTGCTATGCATCAGAATTGACTCGATGGACAATCATTTTGAGCTGCTGGAACCTGTTCTCCATACAGTAGCCGCAGGATTTGTCTAAAACCTAAAATTTCATCACACAGTCTCAGCCCTGCCTTGCTGCCTTCAGGATGAAGCCCTAAACCTTGGATATGTTGTCATTATTGTTGGGTCAGAACCAACCCACAGCTGACCCTCCAGGGGGTTTTCAGAGACAAGAAATTGTATGGGAAGATTGCCCATCTTTCTCCCGAGGAGCAGCTGTTGGATATGAACCATGTACCTTTGGGGTGGCAGTTTAACTCCTTACCACTAAGCCACCAGAGATCAAACCTTGGACACGACCTCCCAAACCAGCCACTGACCAGGTCTCACTACTGATCCCTTTCTTTCTCTCCCTGACTGAGCATTAGCTGTCTTCTCTGGGCATAAGGTCTTTCCCCATGCAGCCTTCTCTGTCCCCCAGGCCCCTGAGTTAATATCTTCTCATCCTTGGGAAGATTCTCTCATACATCTTCTCAGGGTTTCCCTTTGGTTGTAGTTATCAGTTTATAATTATAGGTCTTATTTGTGGGTCTACTGATCAGTATCTGTGTACCTGGCTCTGCTGTGTGTCTGTCTTGCTATCTGAAGCCCAAGGCCTGGAACACCGTTGAGGGTGTCTGAAAGCTTTTGGTCTCAGAGTTAAGCTTGAGACTCACAGCAGTTGTGAGTTCACACACTCTTGGGGGCCTGAGGAGGCTGGGGACAGCTATTTCTCTGCTATAACCTCAGTATTATCTGGGAAATGGGGTGATCATAATGATGCTTGTCTTATTTGGGTACTGGCAAGATTATCCTCAAGATCAAAGTGATGACAGGGATGGGTCCAGTCAGTGTGGATGCCCTTGGGGCAGGGGTGAAGCCTGATTCATCCAATCAGCGCTAGGTTCCTGGGCCGGCCTCAGGAAATGAGCTGGGGGTGTGGAATGAGCCGGAATGAGTGGGTGGGCCCATGCGTTTGGGAAGTAGACCAGGCTCACCCTGCTGGTAGCCCTACTTGAGCCATCTTGAGCCTTTCTGGTAGCCTACGGCTGAACAATGCTGATGATCCTTATGGTATACTTCATTAATTCAGTTATAAATTCAACAAATATCTGAGTGCTGATGTGCCTAGCCCAGCCAGCTCTGGAGTATGTGGTAAACATGCTGACACGCCCGGGTCTTGTGGAGCTCACCTTCTGGTGGGAAACAGCAGCAGTAATAATCTTCACCTCTCCTGAGAGCAGTGCCAGGCAGCACCAGACGCTTGACACTCATTCAAACCTCCTGAGAGTCAGGTTCTCCCATCACCCGTGCCATTAAGTCCATTTTATGGCTCAGAGGGTGGAAGCAGGGAAAGAGCACCTGTCCATACAGCTCATAATCAGGTCTCCAAGGGCCAAGTTCTTAACCAGAGCTGTACTGCCTCAGGGGATGTTCTCCTACAGCATGCCCTTGGGCCCCAGTCTGACTGGAGCCTGTCTGAACTAGTGCATGTTTCCAAGCCAGTTGAACACTTGGCTAATAACGCAGCCAGAGGCTGGGGGGGACCCAGAGTTTGGGGTGCCCTGGATGGGAGGGCCACTTCAGTATCCTGTGCTGGTTTTTCACTGCACAGGAACTTCCCACGGGTTCCTCTGAACCTCCTCCACACCTGTACACACTCATAACTCAGCCTGGACATAATACCTGCCCCCGTCTGCCTCTTGCGGCATGCCCAAGAGCTGTGAATAATGCGACATCTCGGGAAACCCTGGTGACAGCCCTTATTTCCTTTTTCTGGGATAGAAGAAGCGATCTGAATTCAACTCAGGACTCTCCTGCCACAGAAAAGGTCAAGGTTCCGGCTGAAACAGGGTGACTGATGCTGATGACTGATGGTGGGATAGAAACATGAGGCTCTGAAGGGCTCTACTAGCCCTGCTGTACTTGCTACAAGTCACTTCTTCGTCCTTCCTTCTAACTCACCCCCCAAACTTCCTCTTTGGACAACGGCTGCTGAAACCAGTTCTCTCGATCCTCTCTAGTGTGCCACAGATATGAAAATCAGCAATCACCGAACCATTTCTTAGACGGGAACCACCAAGAGCAGAAGCGCCTACCGTCAAGCAGGTTGGACTTTCCTAAAACAGTACCGGGACGTCCAGTAGTCTCTGTATTTGAATGGGATATCCTGCTTTCTATAACCAGTCTAACAATGGAAGATCACCCCACATTGGGCAGCAATGGACCAGCCCACGCATTCCCGCCCCTTTCTCGTGGCAGTGGGTCAGTCCACTCAGTTGCCCTAAGGATGTCCTCGGTTCCTTCCCGGACGCCGCAGGACCCCAGACCCCGAGCGCTCACCTTTGGCCTTGCCTTTGCGCCACCGCCGGCGGCTACGGATCCCAGCCCCTTCCTTGGTCTTCTTCGAGGCCGGGGCCCCAGAGGCCCCAGCGGGGCCCGTTCCCCTGGCCGACTCCATCTATTATCAGCGATCCCCGCGGTCCCGGAGCCGGGACCAAATCCAGCCGCCGGGCCCCCACATTACCCAATCCCGGGCTGGCTTGTCTCTAGGTCCTGCCCACCGAGCAATACCCGCCTCACTCCACTGCCGGCCCCGCCTCCAACCTCTAGTGCCCAAGGTCTGGCTCCGCCTCCTCACCCAGCATTAAAGGGCCCACCTCCAAGAAAAAAAATACAACCCTGGAGGCGGCGGAAAGCGTCCTTCGTGCAGGACTAGTGGGGATTCCCGTTATGGTCACTTCAGTAGAGAAATCCTCATTCTCTTGCGTGCTGGCTTTCAGTTTCACCTTTCCCACTCACCTTCCCACATAGGGAGCCCTTAGAGAGTTGCCCAGGCTGCCTGCAGGAGGGGAAGACTGGGACGCCGTTGAACCTCCGCCGGGGGGCGGGGGGGGGGCGGGGAAGGGGGGAGGTGGGCCAGCTCCTCGGGCAAAAGTCGGGGCGGGGCACCAGCCCGGGGGCGTGGCTGGCTCGGGCGCCGGTGGAGGAGAAGGCCCCGTCTTTCCCTGCTTCTCTGTCTCCTGTTGCTCTCTCCTTTGGGCTTCTGTTTTTCGACTCCCTAGCGCCCCTAGCCCTCACACTCCCTAAGATGAGAGGGAAAGACGAGGGAGAACGGAGCCATTAGGCGCGTGCGCTGTAGCTCTAAGACGGGTCCAGTCTACGGAGAGTAGCAGGTAGTGCCTGTAAAAAGCGAAAGGGTGGGAAACGCAGGAGGCGCGAGGCTCGCGCGCATGCGCATCTCATCAAGAGCCTCGTGGGCGCTTCAAAGACAGTTTGCCTGTGGCGACAGGACTGTGTCCTTGTCTTTTGGAGAGTGGGCTCCAGGAGCTCATAGAAACAGCTTTTTATCCCCAGCGCGGACAAGGCAGGCTTCTTCGCTCCATTCTGCCCCCCTGCCTACCCTGGTAACCAACTCTAATAGCTTCAGCCCTTGAACAGTGACAGCTCCCTGACGTGACGGACCGTCATTGCCCGCCCTTCGGACTGACTGGCCCACAGTCACTTCATTATCTGAATTCAGCACCATTTCCCTCCCTTTAGAATGTTTCCTTAAATAAACTCTAGTTCTGCGGATAAAGCCTCAGACCTCGCTCCCTTCACCACGGAGTTTTGGGCTTAGAGAGGAGAGCAGCTGCCAAGCACTATAGAGCTGGAGCCCGCACCCCAGGGGTGCCAGGCCTGCTTCAGTGTAACTCCGAAAAGGCCAAAAGACTTAAGGGGGCACTGACAGGCCAGAAGGGCCAGGACCTTCTAAGTCCCCTTTCTCATCCAGCAATTCCTGACCTTGCCAATGACGTTGGTGGACCTCACCCCTCGCTTCTCCCAGCCTTATGCTCCCTGAAACCACCCCGTAGGCCTGGCTGCACTGCGCCCCCCGTGTGGGGTGACCGGGTGGGGGCCTGAGTGGCTTCCTACCACCGGAAGAAAGACCTGGTAAGGTCTGAGCTGGGCTGTGTCCCCGAGGGGCAGGACCACAGCCATCACTGTGCTGCTGAGGCCCCTGAGCCTGATTCCCGGGCAGTGCCTTCCAGGGAGTGCTGGAGGACGGCTGAGTGAACCCCGCTCCCTGTGCCTTGGCCCTCACCCCCACCCCCAGTTCTTTACCCTCTGTCTTGCTTTGCCCCCACAGCCTCAATAGGAAGCCTCTGCAGAAATCAGACCCAGGCCTCCCCTGTCTCTGACTTCACCACTTGCTAACTTCACAGCCTTGTGCAAGATCCTTCCTCCTTTCCTCCTCAACAGCTTCCCTTGTAAAATGGTGACTGCTTGGCACAGTGGCTGTGATGATGGCACGAGCACAGCAGCGATTGTGAGGATGGTGCAGCACTGGGTAGTGTTTGGTTCTGTTGCACATGGTGTTGCTGTGAGTTGGAAATGACTCAACAGCAACTGGTAATCTTTAAGTCCCCTCAGGTGAGGCAAAGAGTGTGCAAGGTTAGCAGTTTGAGAGTACACAGAGGTGCCATGAAAGAAAGACCTGGTGATTTTCTATAATGATTACAGCCGAGAAAACCCTACAGGGCAGTTCTAGTCTGTAACGCATGGTCCTCTATGAGTCAGAGCTGACTTGTGGCAACTAACAACTACCTGAGCTAATTGTAAATTCTTAGTATTTCCTCAACAAGGGGCTGTCCCTGGGATGTTCCATGTCCTCCAGCCACAAACTCACCTGTGTTCTGGTAGTAGCCGTAATTCTGGCTTTGGGTTTTCATCCCAGCACACCCTGACTTCACTTCATGGTCAGCTTTCCTTTTGAAGGGCAGCTTCCTTTCATGAGCCCCAGGGTATCTCCTTCTAGTTGGAGAATCTCTGCTCACTGGAGACCCCAGATCTGATTCAGAGTCGGAATCGGTGGCCCACTCAAAATATGTCTTCCATTCTGCGGCCGATCTCTGGAGAGATAGTTCTTGAAGTTTTTCCAGAAATCTCCACTCGGTCAAAGAGCCCTGCTGGGTTTTGGCTCCTGAGACTGGAGAGGCTGGGTGGGTGGCAGGCTTGGACTCTTGTTCACATCTTTCTTGGAATGGAGGTTCAGTCTGGGTGGGAGGTGCCTGTGCAGGGTTCAGTCTGTGCTGAACTGTAGGTGTCAATTGGGCTGCCAGTTGAGATAGTGGTGACTCTACTGACCTAGATCCTGGCTGGCCTGCAAACCCTTCCCTCCGTTCTGATTCCTCTTGGATTGGAGATTCTTTTCCTTCCAGTGAGGCAGCTTCCTGTTGAGGGAAAGGCCCCTTTTGGATGGAAGGCGATGGCTGTGGTGCAAGCTCCTGTTGGGAAGCTATTTGCTGAGTTCCAAGTTCCTGCTGGGATTCAACTCCATGTTGGGTTAGGGGACTTTGTTGTGAAGCTGGCTCCTGTTGAATCTTCGCTCCAGGCTGCACTGTGGGTGTCTTTTCTGGCTCAGGCTCTGGCTGAGTTTTAGATGTTTCAGTTGTCTGCTGTGGCTCAGGTTCCCAGTCTGGCCTAGATACTGATTTAGACCCTGGCTCCACTGTTGTTAATTCCCTCAAGGGAGATGTTGCTTTCCCAGACTTCATGCTTCTTGTGTGTGTGTGTGTGTGTGTGTGTCCTTCCCAGGCCTCCTACTTCACAGATCCCTCATTGATTCCTCATACTGAAACCTACCTTTTAATCCCACTCTAACTCTTTCTTCCTGGCATCCTAGTCTTTTTAAGGACACTAGGTGAGTGGACCCACCACTGCTGGCCCCCACTTCTGTGCCTCCTACTTTTGGGCAAAGGATTAGGAACAGGAGGAATCTGTGTGCCCAACACTTTTACTAAGGGGGTGGGGCTTGCCTTCTTATGTCATAGTTAGGGCTCCACCCCACCTGTTACTCAGTTAAAATGTTTCTTCTAAGGCTGGCATCTCAGTCCAGTCCTGTGTTTCATTTGGGATAACAGAAGGCAAGATCTGCATAAGTGTTAATTTTTCTTTCTCATCTATCTAATGCTTGTAGAAAAGCTGAAAGAGGAGAAGCTAGATTCTACTGTAGTAACTGTTAGGTCTTCACACTGGATGTAAGACCAAGGACTCAAGGAAGGGACCAGAGAAAGAAAGGAAGCTAAAGAAGCTTTATGAAGGGGGCTCCTGGGCAGTATTCCTTGATCTAGAGAGAAAGACAGACCAGAGGGAAACTGTACCTTAAAGTGGATTAGGGCAAAAACAACTATGAGCTATCATCTCAGCCCAGTCAGAATAGCAAAATTTAACAGAACAGCAAGCAACATGTGCTGGCGAGGTTGTGGAGAAACTGGAACCCTTATTCATAGTTGGTGGGAGTGTAAAATGGTGCAACCACTGTGGAAGGCGGTATGGCGCTTTCTCAAAAAGTTGCAAATAGAGATACCATTTGACCCAGCAATTCCACTACTGGGAATATACACTAAAGAGAGCATAACCGATATCCAAGCAGATATATGCACACCCATGTTTATTGTGGCTTTGTTCACAATAGCAAGGAGTTGGAAACAACCCAGGTGCCCATCAACAAACGAATGGATAGAGAAGCTGTGGTATAGTCACACAATGGAATACTATACTGCATTGAAAAACAAGGAACTCATGCAATATTATTCAAAATGGGTGACCCTGGAGGACATTATGCTGAGTGAAGTGTCTCAGTCACTAAAGGACAAATACTGCATGGTGCTACTGTTGTAGAATGGGACTGACATCAGGGTTGGGGTAAGACTGAGAAAAACTGGATAAATTATGTATACTGAATTGAAACAGATGAGGGAGAGAATAATTTAAAAGTGATATATGATAGGGTATTATGGTTATCACAAGAGTTCAGAATTAAGGTTGCATAGTGGAGTATACTTGGGGCGGTGGGAGGGGTGAGGGGTGGGGGGATTGTATACCAAAGAAAGAATTTATCTTTTACATCTCAAAGATAGGAGAAACTGGGGGGAGGTGGGGAGGGCTGGGTAGGGAGAAAAGTGCAACAATGAATGAATGGAAATCCAAAATCTCTGTAAATAAATGTTCATTAAAATTAATAAAATTTTTTTTTTAAAAAAAGTGGATTAGGACAGGGTTTTTATAGTAAGGGTCCTTAGGGAGGGAAGAGAGTGGCATTTCATTGTGGTTTAGCCAGGCAGGTGGTCTTGTAGGGAAGAAAGGGAGGGGCACTCCATGGTAGTTGAGGCTGTTACTCCCTTTGTTGACATGTTGATATTCCTTGAATCCTTTTTCTCCCTTTGTTTGACCTTGGTCCTGGCCTGACAATAACCATGTATTTTTTTATTAAATCCTACACATTATTATCATTTTAATCTCCCTGTATTATCACTCTGATCATTTTACCCCCATACTTTGTCTGACATACTTTGGACATGTTGTAAGGAGAGACAGGTCTTTAGAGAGGGACATCATGCTGAGTAGAGTAGAGGGACAGTGCAGGAGGGGAAGACCCTCTATGAGTTGGATTGATTCAGTGACTAGGGTAATCGGGATGGGTGTGTCAGAGGCAATGAGATTGGCACAGGATAGAGCACGGTTTAGGGTTGTTGTACATAGGGTCGCTATGAGTCGCAAACGACTCGACGACACATAACAGCAACAACCAAAAAACCCAAATACTGTAATGTCTTCCAAAATCGTGTCCTTTTGAATAAAAAGGACAGAAGAAGAATTGACATCTTTGAACTGTGATATTGGAGAAGAGTACTGACTATCCCATGGACTGCCAAAAAACAACAGATATGTCTCGGAGAAGGTGCAGCCAGAATACTCTTTGGAGGCAAAGTGAAAAAGCTTTATCTCCCATGTTTTGGGCATGTTGTTAAGAAGAAGCTATTCCTTGGAAAGGGACATCACACTTGGGAAGGTAGAGGAGACAGAGAAAGAGAGGAAGACCCTCAACCAGCAATGGGCCCAAGTGGTCAGAGATGGTGAGTCTAGGATAGGATTCAGATCTTAGTGTCACTGTGAGTCATACTTGACTCGATGGCATCTAACAACATACCATTATTCCAGCCCTGAATATCTGCATATCTGTCTTCTGTGTCAGATTGGAAACTCAGAGTACAATGACCATTAACAATGGTGATCTTGCCAGTTACTGTCGAGTGGGTTCTGACTCAGAATCAGAACAAGATGCCTCCCAGTCCTGCACCATCCTCTCATCTGCTATAATTAAGCCCACACTTGCAGACACTGTCAGTCCATCTTGTTGAGTGTTTTCATCTTTTTTTACTGACCTTCCATTACTATGATGATGATACTCCTGATGAGTTAATTCCGAGTCACAGGAACCCTTCATTGAGTGTCTGAGGCTCTAAATCTGTACAGGGAGAAACTGCCTGTCTTTCTTCCACAGAGGAGCTAGAGGATTTGCAATGCTAATTGGGTTAACAACCCAATGTATTATGCTACCAGAACTGCTTATGATAATGATACCCAAGCCCCCTGCAGTCAAGCCTGCTCTTACTAGTAGCGCTCCTTCATCAAGTTTCCAAGGCTGTAAATCTTTACAGGGGAAGACTACTTTTTTCCCCCCCCTGTGGCATCGCTAGTGGATTTGAACTGCTGAAATTTTAGTTAGCCTGATATGTTACACACTATGCCACCAAGGCTCCTTTGATGATATACGGAGTGCTTTTTATGGTAAGAAATTGTGGAAGAGTCATCAACGACCCGAGTTAGGCGGATGATGCAACACTGCTTGCTGAAACTGAGGAGGACCTGAAGCGCTTGCTGCAGAAGGTAAAGGACTGCAGCCTCCTATATGGATTGAAGCGCAACATCAAGAAAACAAAGAATCTCACCACTGAGCCAATTGGCAGCATCAGTATGGATGGTGAAGAGATTGAGATAGTTGACAGTTTTAGTTTACTTGGTTCCACAGTCAATACTTTTGGTAACAGCAGCCCGGAAATCAGGAGACGAATTGCATTGGGAAAGTCGGCTGTGAGAGACCTCTCAAGAGTACTGAAGAGCAATGATGTTAGGCTGGAGACTAAGGTGCGCCTGATCCAGGTTATAGTCTTTGCAGTTATGTGTTATGCATCAGAGAGCTGGACAATGAATAGGGATGATAGAGAATTGATGCCATTTAGCTGTGGTGCTGGAGAAAAGTGTTGAATATACTACCATGGAGTGCTAGGAGAACAAACAGGTTTGTCCAGGAGAGGGTGAAGCCAGAATGCTCCTTGAGGTTAGGATTCTGAAGCTTCGTCTGACATACTTTGGCCATATTGCAAGGGGGGACTGGTCCTTGGAGAGGGACATCATGTTTGGGAGAGTAGAGGGGCGGCGCAGGAGGGGAAGACCCTCAATGAGATGGATTGATTTTGTGAGTGGAGTGGTGGGAATGAGCGTGTTTGAGATGGCTAGGTTGGTACAGGATAGAACAGCGTTTAGGGCTCTTGTACATAGGGTCGCTATGAGTCACAAGTGACTCGACGGCACTTAACAACATATATAATCCTGTAATTATTCAATTATTCAGTGCTATACTGGCTTTCTTTGCCCCAGCTGCTTCCTATCTCAGAAAGGTTTCCTAAATGAAAGAAAGAATAAAAAGCTGCCAATGGAGAGAATGAGAGGGCTTGAGTATGAAGAGGTGTGTAGATAGACTCTGGGTTGCGTTTGGAGTAAACATAGTTAAGTAGGCGATCTGGAGCAAATCTGAGTGGCTAGACTCCACGCAAAACAAATAATTTTGACCTATTACATTTAAAAATATTTATTACTTCTTTTTGCCAAGTGCTTGGTTATGTTTAAGATCAGGTGAAACCAGCTAGGGAAGCCAAGTTTTCTGGTATCTTTCAGGTAATTAAGGTCAAGCTAGGATAAGGGTTAGGATGGAGGAAAAGATTGATAAGCTAGAAGGGACAATAAACACTAGAATAATCACTAGAAGGGATAGTAATAAAAATGACTTTGGGGAAAATGCTTTTTTTGGGACATTGGAATGATTTGTGAGGTGAGCAGCGGGCAGGGGGACACATGAGACGGGAGTCGAGGATCCTGAAGGTATGTCCTCTTCCTTCTTGACTGAGAGGATTGGGAGAATGGGTTCTCGAAGACTTTAAATAGGCAGAGCAAAGCTTGCTAGCTGGCATTGTTGGAGAAATTGCTGGCAGGCTTTGGAGTGCTTCTTTGACTTCCTGTGATGCCTTTGGTGTCCTTGGGGGAAAAGAAAGGGAATAAGTTAGTTTTAAAAACATTTTCACAATTGTGTTTGAGTGTTTGGAAATTTACTTATTCAGTGGAGAAAATAATAACAGAAAGAAAAGTATATTCTATTAAATATATTTCCTTATGTCAACTTCTATTCCCCAAAATTCGCTATTATTGATAGTTGGCTCGGAATCTTCCATATATTTTTTAATATAAACATAAGTCTACTTAAAAAATTCAACCAAAACAACAACAACCAAACAAACAAACAAAACACAATTAAACAAGGGAACTCTGTTGACCTAGTGGCAAGAACCTGTGCTGCAATCCTGAAGGCTTGCAGTTCAAATCCACCAGCTGCTCTGCTGGAGAAGGAGGGGCAATCCTTCCTGTGCCAGTCGGACCCAACTCAATGGTACACAATGAGAAAAAGAAAAAAGAACAATAAAAGAATGTTAAAAAACCCAACTCAACAAAGAAAAAACCAGAAATGAGATTATTCTACATGTGCTGCTTTGGTCTGAATCTTTAAAAATATATTAATGCAAAATATTGCACATATGTAGATGCCCAAAAAACCTTGTGTATACTGTCCAATATATTTTTTTTAAAAGCACATAGTCATTAAAGTACTACCCAGGTCTGTTGCTGTTATGTGCCGTCAAATTGTTTGCGACTTATAGTGACCCTATCTACAAGAGCCCTAAACCCTACTGTAGCCTGTGCCAACCTCACCATCTCCAACAAACTTATTCCCACCACCCCAATCACAGAATTGATCCATCTCATCAAGGGTCTTCCTCTCTTGCGCCGTCCCTCCACTCTCCCAAACATGATGTCCCTCTCCAAGGACCAGTCCCTCCTTGCAACATGCCCAAAGTATGTCAGACGAAGCTTCAGAATCTTTGCCTCCAAGGAGTATCCCGGCTTCATCCTCTCCAGGACAAACCTGTTTGTTCTCCTAGTAGTCCACGGTAGTATATTCAACACTCTTCTCCAGCACCACAGTTCAAAGGCATCTATTCTCTTTCTATCATCCCTAGTCACTGTCCAACTCTCTGTTGTATAGCATGCAATTCTGAAGCCTATATCCTGGATCAGGCACACCTTAGTCTCCAGCCTGATGTCATTGCTCTTCAGTATTCTGGAGAGGTCCCTGACAGCTGACTTTACCAATGGAATTTGTCTCTTGAGTTCCTGGCTACTGGTACCAAGAGTTTAACTATGCAGCAATGAAGGAATGAAAACCCAAAATCCCTGTAAATGTTCATTAAAACTAATAAAATTTAATAAAATAAAAAAAAAGAGTTTAACTATGGAGCCAAGCAAACTAAAACTGTTAACTATCTCAATCTCTTCACCATCCATACTGATGCTGCCAATTGGTCCAGTGGTGAGAATCTTTGTTTTCTTGATGTTGAGGTCTAGAAATAGAATGACTAACTTCCTGCTCTTACCACTACTGTCTCTCCCTTACAGAGATGAGATAACCCTAGTATGTTGCTGTTTTGTGCCCTGGGCTGGGAACCGACTCAGCTGATCCTCTAGCAGGTTTGAAGAAGTTGTAAATTGAACAGACGGAGACTGCTCATTATTTACCTGCGGAGTAGCTGGTAGATTTGAACTGCTTGCCTTTGAGTTGGAAGTTTATAACCCTATTCTAGTATCCATTTACTTTTTTTAAAAAATTGTTTTACCAACTTTGTAGACATTCCTAGAGAAATTGGTTTAATCTAGCCTATTTTTATACTTTTAAGTATTTGAAATCATACTGTAGATGACCTCTTTTGGCTTACTTTTTAAAATAATTTAAGATTTATACTGCTACAATTTAATTCATTTCACTGACACTTGAATACACCATAATTTATTCATACTTTATATGAATTATGCGCATTCATTTAGAAGTTTTACGTTTTGGACACTTATGAGCGATGCTTTTAGTTGTTAGGTGTCATCTTCTCAACTTTGATTCAGTGAGTCTATGAAAATAACAAATCTGAACCGTTAGCATGATATGCTCGAGCCCGTTATGGCAGTCACTGTGTCAGTCCATGTCTTTGAGGTCTTTCTCTCTTTCTCTGACCTACCTCTTCCAGCATGATGTCCTTTTCCAAGGATTAGCCCCCCCTTGTCTGACAACATGCACATTTCACCGTGCTTTCTCCTAACCAGCACCCTGGTTGTTCTTCCTCCAGGACAGAGGGATTTGTTCTTTTGGCAGGCCATAGGATAGTCAGTACTCTTCCCCAACAACACAGTTTAAAATCATTGATCCTTCTTCTGTCATCCTTATTAACCGCGTAGGAAAACATTGAAAATACTATTGTTTAGATCAGTCTGATCTCCTTCCTCTTTAGCACTTTGGAGAAGTCTTTGATAGCAGATTTCCCCAATGCAACATGTCTTTTGATCATGGCTGCTGGTATGAAGGGTGTGGACTGTGGATCCAAAGAAGGTGAAATTGTTGACAATTTCAGTGTTTTCTCCATCTATCATGTTGTTGCCTATTGAGGGTAGTGGTGAGAATATATATTTTCTTAATGAAATATGAACAATACTGCTATAAAATTCTTGTACATGTTTCCATGTGTACATAAATGTGCCTTTTCTTTTGAATGTATAAGTGCAACTTCTTGATAACAGGGTATGCATAGCTTAAACTTTAGCATTATACGAGATAACTAGTAGATAACCATCAATTTAACTAGATATATTGAAATTACCAATTTATATTATCATAATAGATTGGATTGTGCTCCTCAAAAATGTGTCGTAAATTCTGTGGTTATAATCACATTCAGGAATGGGTGTTCTTTGTTATGTTAATGAAACAGTATTAAGGTAGAATGTGTTTTAAGTCAATTTCTTTGGAGATATAAGAGCAAAATAAGCAAGCAAACAAGGAATCACAAACAAATGGGAAGATATACGCCACATTATCACCAGGGAACCTAGGAGCAGAGGCTGAAGAGATATCCCTAGAGCTAGCAGAGAGAGTCTTCCCCTAGAGCCTTTTCTATGTGATTTTCTAGTGTTTCCCATGTCCATGTCCGTAGGCTGCCATGAGTCAGAGTCCTGATGTCACCTAAGGACACACTGAGAAAATGAGTTGTGTTTGTAGAGCCACTGACCATGAGACTTCTGTTACAGCAACCCTATGTTGTTGTTGTTGTTACTGATCCACAGCTGACCCTCTGGTGGGGGTTGGGGTTCAGAGGCTGTAGACTGCATGGGAGTTGATTGCCTTTTTCTTGCAGAGCTGCTAGTGGATTCAAACCATGTTCCTTTGCCTTGGCAGCACAAGTTCTTACCACTAAACCACCAGAGCTCCCTCTGCAGCACTACATAGCTAAGGCAAAACCCCATGAAAATGAATGTTCTTATACTCTGTCCTCTATGAACACTTGGTATCATTAGAATTTTTTTTTTGCCTATCTGATGACTTATAGTGATATTTCTTTTTAGTTCTAATTTGCCCCTTTTCAATTACTTAAAAAGTTCAGTGTCACTTCATGTGTTTAGCTACTCGGATTTCTTTGTCTGTGAAGTGCTTATTCAAGTCTTTTGCCTGTTTGCCTGTGGCATTCTGTGTACTAATCCTTTGTAAGGGAGCCCTGATGATTTAGTGGGTCAGGAGTTGAACTGTCAACACAAAGGTTCAAACCTACCAGCTGCTCTTGGGGAGAAAGATGGATAGTCTCTTTACTGCAACTTATTGCATCTGAAAAGCTGCCAGACGGTCAGTGATGAATCAGTTTCTGCTCAATGGCAATGAATTCCTTGTCAGTTTTATGCCAAAACCCCCTTCACTGCTATTCAAGTCAATTTAGACTCATTGACCCTCCATCAGGTTTGTAAATCGTTACAGGAGGAGATAACCCATGTTTCCTCTGTGAAGCACCTGGTGAATTTGAACCATCAACTTTTAGAAGGCTGACTACTAGACAGTGCCATCAGAACTCCTTTATAGGTTTCAGATACTGTCTCTTATTTTTTAATTTCAAATGACATAATCTTTTCCTTTATAATTTATGCTTTTTCTATTTTGTTAAAGAAATCTTTCCCCACCTCAAGGCCCATGACCCAATATTTTCCTATATTCATCTATACACTTGTTACACATTTTTGTTTTTCAAATTTTTGTCTTTTTGTGAAGATTGTGAAACAGAGGCCTCTGTATTTTTTTTCTCTTAACACACTGTAGATCTCATCATTTACATTTTTTTATTATTATTTTATTATTTTGTGTGTGGGTGTGTGTGTGTGTGTGTGAGAGAGAGTGTACCGTCAAATCGGATCTGACTGGTACAGGAGGAGATTGTCCCTCCTTTTCTCAGCACAGCATCTGGTGGATTTGAACCGTACGCCTCTGGGATTGCAGTTCAGTTTCTTGCCACTAGGCCACCAGAGTTCCCCTGCCAGTGAGGGTTTTTTTTTTTTTTTGATTGACATCAACAATTTTATTTTCCTTGGACCCATAGTCAACAGCCATGACAGGGACAGTGAGTTTTAAGAGGCTGTAAATCACATGAGAGGAGATTGGCCATCTTGTTCCTGTGAAGCTGCTGATGGATATGATCTGCCAGCGAGGTGCTGCCTTTGTGTTAGCAAAGTCACTGTGGACTATGCCAAATTGTAATTCACTTCTATCAACAACATATGAAGGTAAATCAGTGTATGATTTATCCTGTCCTTGGCAATATCATATAATAATTAATGTAATATAATATAATATAATATAATATAATATAAT